CACACACACACACACACAACTGCTGCATTAGTGTTGTAATTGAAAATATACTTTAAACCAAATTATTTCATATATTTTGAACAGTGTAAGACACTTTGATTTTAATTGAAATTCCTCTGCAAAGGATATACATTACCTACAGGAATCTTCTGACACTCGGTAAAAAGAAAACTAGGTAACAATAAAACATGCTGTTTGATTTACAGTCATCCAAAGCTCCTTGCAAGAATCAAAGATGTGTATTTCAATATGGGTGGCCTGCTGGGAGTTGAACATCTTATCTTTGCTGTATTATTGCCCTGGTTCTCCCATTGATGCTGGCCAAAATCACGAGAAGGACAGAAATTGTGTGTTTTCATCTATGCGAGGACAGGGAGACTGCGGGAGCCGTCCTTTGTGAGGTTTGTATTGGATGTCCTAGCTCGGCTGCAGCAAATGCACAAAGACCTCCGGCTGTCTTTGAAGTAGACTAGCTAGCTGCTGCCCTAAAAAATTGAAATAAATGACAGCAAAGGAAGGAGAAAGTGACACTGCCCCTGCACTGCTTTTCCAGCGAACGCTCTTCCTTAACCCCAGCAGAGTATTTCTGAGTTGATACATATCACTTGTCATTTTTAGGTGCTAGAAACAAAATCCCTAGAGACAGAGGTGACGCACTGCATATAAACAATTCAACAGAGCAGCGTGTTTACTGTATCAACACTGAAGGATCAGTGTAACTGCATATTCAGCTCTCTGCACACACACCCCTGCACCACAGAGTTGGCACCAGCAAGCTACGTGTATGCTAAGCAGCTTGTTAGCAGGACGCCAATAACGTTGCTGCAATTACAGTAGCTCTGTGCATAACCAGTGTAAGGAAAACTGGAACCTCCTCACTGAAAATTGAGCCGAGTTGAAATTGGTTTGATGTGCATTCCCTGTCATCTGCATATAGAGAAGACGCCACATGAGACAAATTAGAAATCAGCCGAGAAAAGAATGGATTTTCTTTTTGCCATTTTTCTTATTCTCAGAAGAAGAAGCAACATTCCTCTTTACTAATTTATTTCTTCTACCCGCTGCTTTACTTAGCGGCGTCTCATCTGCTCAACTCGCCAGCCTTATCATTCTTTGTATTTCTAATCTTCCTGATTAATAATCAAAGTACGTCACATGTGGCCTTGTTTCATCTTGTTGCCACAAGAAGCAACGGGCAGCCAGCCTCAGATTTAGTTATGAATACCAATTAATGCAACGTGAATCATGTATTTGCTCCTGGCAGTCAGGAATGCTGTTAATAAATATGATTTTGCTGGTTAACCTATGTTCTCTGTGCCTTTGTCCTGTGTGTTTTTGTTCTGAATTTTGTCTCCCAAGGTCTGTTCCACAGAGCCATCATCCAGAGTGGTTCAGCGCTGTCCAGCTGGGCTGTCAACTACCAGCCAGTCAAGTACACTCGCATGCTTGCTGAGAGGGTTGGCTGCAATGTGTTGGACACAGTAGACATGGTGTCCTGCCTGCAGAAGAAAAGTGCTAAAGAGCTGGTTGAGCAAGACATCCAGGCTGCCCGTTACCGCGTGGCTTTTGGCCCTGTCATCGATGGTGATGTCATCCCAGATGACCCAGAGATCCTGATGGAGCAGGGCGAGTTCCTTAACTATGATATAATGCTGGGTGTTAATCAGGGAGAGGGCCTGCGCTTTGTGGAGAATGTGATGGACCTGGAAGACGGTGTGTCTGGCAGCGACTTTGACTTTGCTGTGTCCGACTTTGTGGACAGTTTGTATGGCTACCCAGAAGGGAAGGACACACTGAGGGAGACAATCAAATTCATGTACACAGACTGGGCTGACAAGGACAACCCAGAGACTAGGAGGAAGACCCTGGTGGCCCTCTTCACTGACCACCAGTGGGTGGAGCCGTCGGTGGTAACAGCTGACCTACACGCCCGCTACGGCTCGCCCACCTACTTCTACGCCTTCTACCACCACTGCCAGAGCCTTATGAAGCCAGTGTGGTCAGACTCAGCGCATGGAGATGAGGTGCCTTATGTATTTGGCATCCCCATGGTGGGCCCAACTGATCTGTTCCCCTGTAATTTCTCCAGGAACGATATCATGCTCAGCGCTGTGGTTATGACTTATTGGACCAACTTTGCGAAAAGTGGGTGAGTAACAGTGGATTCAGCAAAAAGTAAAGTAATAAGAATGTGACTCATTTACACATTCTTTGAAATGCATTAAATTGCCATTCATTCTAATTTCATATTCCTGTCTTGGCTTAGAAATGATTGTGAAATAACATAACTGTCCCCAAATTGTGCCTTAGTTTTTATTGCTTTGCATCAATTCCTGACATTAAAAAGATTTTAATTTAGACAACTTATTGTGCAATAGGTCTCCTTACCTTTGCTGCAACTGGTTTGACCTCATTAAAAATGTTTTAAAAACAGTTTAACTCTGCACCCATACGTGTGAACTTAATTGCTTCCCTGCATACATAATGCCAAATCCTAAAAAAATCAGACATCAATCCAGCACAGTCATATCAGCTGACAAAACTGAGTGTATCTATTTAGTCTCTTTTTTAAACAGTCAAAGTCTTGTTTAGCTATCTCTAAAACCTGGTGTAATGCACATAACACAGTTTCATCACTTTGGGCAGCTGTCCGAAAGGTAAGGGCTAATAAAATTTACAGCTTCATTCGAATAAATGTTTAAAGCAGTTCATTGGTGTTTAACAAAAAGGTTACACTGAAGAGAAAGTTTGAAGACACAGTTTAGATGTGCTCTATAAATTTAAGGCCAGCTTTAGTGAGTTGTGTTTTTTGATAGGAGTGACTCACTTTGTCACTACGGAAATACGTCGACTTGTATTACAGATAAATGCTGGTAATAAATAAGTGTTTAGAGACGAACTCTTATTTTTCACTCAGGATCTGTCTTTCCTTCTGGCAGATTAGTTTTTTTTAAATTGATTTTACAAGGAGGCAAAAAAAAAATGCAGCCGATTCATCTATATATCTGTCTTCAATTTTCAGTGATTGTGAGTTTATTTTGCCCAAAACAAGCAAAGATCAAATTGCACTAACTGAAAGGCTTCCAGTAGGATGTGGAGTTGGAGTGGAGCTCTGCACCTTTTTTTCTGACAGCTTTGTTTTTCAATTCATCATACCAAGGCAAAGATTTACTAAGTGTGTTTGAAGATAAAAGACATCTAAGTGAGTTGTGGTGGAGGGCTCCCCTGCTGCATGCCAGAGTCTTCCTTCATTTTGAATGCACAACTGCAATGAATCTTTGTGGGTGATGGCCCTAGTGGTTGGCAGATATGCAGCACTGATCACTATAGGCTGCTGTTTCAGTGTGTGGGGGATGAGGGGATGCTGAGCTCTTGAGGAGAGTTTGTGATATTACATTGTGTTGACCTGTTGTTTTGCTTATATATTGATAAGGTTTCTCTCCTCTTTCTGTATTGCATTTCATTGGAAAAGCTATCTTTCCTTATATATTTGGAAGGGCAAAATTTATGGACTTGACTTGTGGGCCTGAGCAATGAGGTTAATGTCATTTTCACCAGAGGGGGCAGTTTTACCAGACTTTTTTTAAGTACAAGAAAAGAGGTTTTGTTAAAAAAAATAAAAAAAATCTTGTAAAAGCACCAAGAGTACAAATTCAACTTCTTTAATCAAGTAAAAGTGAAAAAGTACATGCTGTGAAATGTACCAAACGAACTGAATCTCATGTTATATTAATTGCATCATAAAATAATATTAATACATAGGAATAGAAAGTCCATTTCAACTTAAATTGTAATTCTGATGACTGTACTCGGCTTGAATTCCTGTTATGCAGAACAGAAGCAGAGGACAAACAAAGGGAATAAATAAAACCAGCTCTGTTTGCATTTGCCTTCAACTGCAGACTTTGCCTCAACGGCTAAACAGGAAAATGTGTATAGTCAGTGAGATTTGGCATGTGTGTGAACCCTAAGCTTGTGGTGGTGCGGTGGGGAAAGAATCACTTAGAACTAAGATAGAATAATTCCTGTTCTGAGCTCCATTTTTTTGTATACAGGCTTTGATCAGCTGACCTGTGTAGCTGCTCTGAATTCAACAAGATATAAGCAGATGCTTTTGCATAAACTGATTTCCAAAGCCTAGACAGTATAAAGCTAAGGTAGGATTCATTGGGTGAATCTAAACAGCACGATCACCCTCAATCTACTGATGTAATCTTACATTGACCATGAACACCACAGCCGCTCATGCACCAGTCCAACAAAGTACAACATTATAAACTTCACTACACTACTGCAAACCTGCATGCCCTTCACGAAATTGCAACCTTTTATGTAACCTTTTAATAGCGAAATATTCGTATAAAAGAAATTTGAATGTTACGTATAAGCATCAATTTCAAATCTTAACGAACAGACCTTACCCTTAAAAATAATTAATAATAACCCTAAAAAATAAACCCGTCCTTTTTCTTACATCTTTCTCCATTTCTAAGTGAAGTTATCTCACTTTCTTTGCTCTCTCTGAGGAACAAAAACAACAACTATACTTTTAGCTAGTAGATGTGTGTCAAACTGCACAGAAACACTTTGTTTGCTGACATTTGTTGAACTCTTAGAAATATTGAATTTAAAATCACCTGCTAGTTAAAAAAAAAATTCTTCCTTTATAGTCACTTCTTTTCTGTAGCTCTAGCAGTCACAACTTATAAACACCTTCACTAAAAACATCATTCCAGATCATTTAGTCCAATTAAACCCCTGAATACAGCGCTAAATGAGGCCTAAATTTGTATTTTTTAAAAAAAAAAAATCTTTAATCTCTTTGTGTATGGTTAGCGCCGGTGATTGACACACCGGTAGGGTTGTCTTTTATGTTTTTTGTTCCCTCCATTTAGATTCAGCCTGATGTTTGAAGGTGCTCAGTGACAGCATATAATAACTCCCCTCAAATGGCTAAAGTAAACATTTAAGTAATGAGCCTGTTTAAAAATGTAAGGAGCAGAAAGGAGAGTTATTTGTGATAAAGATAGGGAGTAAAAGTAAAAAGATGCCAAAAAAAAAAAACCTAAGTAGAAATTCCTGCAAATTCTTCTTAAGTTTAAGAATAGTAACTGTAACAACCAAATACTTTGCACTTCCCTCCTGTTATTAAAACAGTAGTGATGTAGATATTTTCAATAGTGATGCCCATTGATGTTAGGGCAAATATAAGCCAAATCACATATTTAAAAAATCTAATGTTCATTGAATTAGGATTAAAGAGGATTGTGCTAAAAGTTAATATATATTGAAATTAATTTCCCTCCAAGGCTAAAATTTACCTGTGATGTCTTCATAGGGATCCTAACAAGCCAGTGCCACAGGACACCAAGTTCATCCACACCAAGGCCAACCGCTTTGAGGAGGTAGCCTGGTCCAAGTATGACCCCTACGACCAGCTGTACTTGCACATTGGCCTGAAGCCTCGTATCCGTGACCATTACCGTGCAACCAAAGTAGCCTTCTGGAAACACCTGGTGCCCCATCTCTACAACCTCCATGACATGTTCCATTACTCCTCCACCACCACCAAGGTCACACCACTGGATCCCACCCAGTCCAATGGCAAGAGGTCTGGGGGTACTGGACGCCCGCCTTTATCCACTGCCCACAGTAGCGGAGAAGGAGGGAGAGAGATGGGTCCTCTGATCATGCCAAACCCGAGAGATTACTCCACAGAGCTCAGTGTCACTATTGCTGTCGGGGCGTCACTGCTGTTCCTCAACGTTCTGGCCTTTGCTGCTCTGTACTACCGCAAGGACAAGCGCAGCCGCCAGGACACTTCACAGCAGCCCAGTCCGCAGCGCGAAAGCAAAGGCAATAATGCAAGCCACACCACAACAGTAGACGAGACCTTGTCATCCCAGCAAAGGAACCAGTGCGAGGCCCTTCACAATCCTCTCCACGTCTCGCCCAGTTTGGACTATACGCTCAGTCAGCGCCGCTCCCCTGACGACATCCCTCTGATGACCCCCAACAACATCACCATGATCCCCAACTCCCTAATGGGCCTTTCCAACATGAGTCCATACAGCACCTTTCCCGCTGGCTACAGCTCTGCAGGCCTGCCCAGCACCCACTCTACCACAAGGGTATAACCTGGCAGCCAGAAAGAGATGAGAAATGTGACATAGATGAAAAATGGAAATGTAAAGCTGTATTTAGGATGTGTAGGTAAAATAGGATTTAATATGTATGTTCTGTCTTTTTCCAAAGGTGTACAACCGCGAACATCCTGCCTTTGCTTTCTCATAATAGGAAGTCTAACTGCAGAGTCATTTTATAATAATCATTTTCAAAGGCAGTCGAAAAGAAAAAGTGCATTTCATTTTCCACTTTGGCTTTTTTGGAACTTTACCTAGCAAGAACTTAGTATAATGTTTGTACAGTTGGATTTGTATGGGAAGTTTTTCTTACTCTGTGATATCTATTTTGATCTCGTGGAACAAAGTGACATTACAACTCATGGTGGACAGAGATGAGATCTGGGAGAAGCATAAAAGCAGTATTATTATTACTATTATCAAGCTATTTTATACATATTTCTCATGGTACATTGCTTATTATGAAAATGTATTTTTACTGTAATTACTTTAAAATGCCTTGTACAGCACATCGCTTACATGAGGAATTACTGTGGAGTCATGCCAACAATGGATTGAAGTTTTACTGGTCACATGTGTTAAAACTGTCCAATTTACCCAAAATATTTCTATCTGGTAGTGCAAATTATAGCACTGTGTGTGTGTGTGTGTGTGTGTGTGTGTGTGTGTGTGTGTGTGTGTGTGTGTGTGTGTGTGTGTGTGTGTGTGT